AAAAAAGATCAGCAAGCTGATTAATATGCAAGCAGAGTTTATTAGTGATACATTCTCAGGGAAACGGGCCTAGCAGCGGTGAGAGAGAGCAGGTAGGGGGAGAGAGCTCTTCTCTGGAGAATTTATAGTTTGCTGGATGGGGTGAGGGAGTTACATATTGATTTGGTGGGAAAGGTTGTACATGCTCTTCCACAGGAGGGTGTGCCCTCCTAAGATGGGTGGAGTCTGTTGACTCAGATCCTTATCTTGCTCCAGACCACCTCTCATCATCTGTTGTTGTAAAAACAGATACGTGGCTGGAGGCAGTTAAAGCTAGTTATGAGCTTTTTCTGTAGGCAATTTGGGTTTCAAGTCTTTGAAGATTATGAATAGTCACTACAAACACTTGCATACGAGTTTTTGTGTGAACACACATTTTCATTTCTCTTGGGTAATAACCTAGGAGTGAGATTGCTGGATCATATGTATGTATATGTTTAACTTTAAAAGAAATTGCCCAAACTGTTTTCCCAAGTAGCTGTACAATTTTGCACTCCTACAAGCAGTGGATGAAGGTTTCAGTTGCTCCACATCCTCATTAGCATTTCGCATTGTCTTTTTCGGGGGAAGAGGGCAATGGTTTGCTCTTTTCAATGTTTGTAAATTATTTTTAATCACAAAAGTAATACATAGTCTTTGTAAAAATGTGGAGAATTGAGGCATTGGGTGTAGAAGGGAATTGGATTTAGCCTATGCTGCTGTCTGGATCTTTGAAGACAAGAGGTCTTTCAGCATTTCTGATTGTCAGTATAAAACTTTGACATTACCAAATAGGCAACAACAAATAGCTTTTGACACCCCTGCAAAGAGTTTTAGAAATAATTTAGATTTGTGTTTTGTTTCTTTCCAAGAACCTGGGCCCTTTCCTGGGATTGTGGACATTTTTGGAGCTGGAGGTGGCCTTCTGGAATATCGAGCTAGTCTGCTGGCTGGGAAGGGTTTTGCTGTGATGGCTTTGGCTTATTACAAATATGAAGACCTCCCCAAGAGCTTGGAGACCCTCCACTTGGAGTACTTTGAAGAAGCTGTGAACTACCTGCGTAATCACCCTCAGGTTGGAACTTCTCTAAGTTTTGTGGTCTACGTATCAGGTCTCCTTTGCATCAATGCTCTTCCTTTTCACAGTGCTTGATAAATTCATGACAGCCACTCCCTACCCCCAACACTACCCCAAAAAGGTAGTAACCTTTTATAGTCTCTTCTCATAGACAGTTTCTATGCAATTATATGTTACTATATTTCCTGCTTTACTAAAGATGTTCTTAGTTGACATTATGGAATTTTAAGTTCTAATATTTTATAATGAGCCCAAACACATTAGATAGCCCTGGTCTGACACAGGAAGCGGAGGGAAAGGAGACGGGCATCACTGTCTCCAGGCGGCCCCAGCTTAAATGTTTGTGTCTCTTCCTCGTGCCCGCTCTGAGAGCAGAGTATTGTTTTAAAGGAAGAACTTGGCAGCCAAAGAACCTGGGTACTAGTCAAACAGGGCCCTGTTGGGACCCCCACAGTACAGGCCTCATTGCTTCCCAGCCTCACCTTTCCTTGACCTATAGCTTAACAATAGAGCATCCCCCTGCAGCTTAAGCTTGGAATGTCCCCTGTCCCACACAGTTCCCTGTTTTTAGAAAATTACCTTGAAACTTATGATTAATACCCTTAGGCTTATTGATCACAATCTCTATGATCTAGGAACAATCCAATCATTGTTCCTGGGTTGCAGTCTCCACCAGAGAATCAAGTGGCCAGAGGGAAAGGCTGCCAACAAACAGCCTCTGGAGGAATGCCCAGATTTTCCCTTAAATACCCCAAGCTGGTCTGAGAATGTTAAGGCACTTTTTGGAGGTGTTAACCTGTTGCCTTCTCAGACCACTGGTGCTCTGATAATAAACACTTATTCTATGACCCAGCTCCTGTGTTGGTCTATTGGCTGAGTGGTGGCTGAGCGGCGCAGGCGGCACAAGCCCCAGACTCGTTTGGCCTCTGGTTTCACTAGGAGATGTTTTAAGGGTTCTAGGCTCAGGATATCAGAGGATAAGAAGATAAACCTTGCTAATTTTCTTTTTTTAATTAAAAAATATTTTTAAAGATTTTTAAGAAAATATAGCTAACATACAATATTATATTGTTAGGCATACGGCTCCTTAACAAAACTTGTATAAAAGAATTGCGTTCCAAAGAGTTCATGACCAGACCTGGGGCTATCTCTCTCAAAGGGGGAGATCAGCCCCTAAGTCCTGGTGAGTAAGGGATTTATAGCTGAAGCTGGATACAGAAGCAAAAAAAAAGCAGTTAGTGTGTAAAAAGAAAAAATGGTTAGTTTATCTTATTTTAACAAACTATAGAACACAGGTTATTATTTTTAACGAGCTAATATATAACTTGCTTATCTTCTTGACGGGCTATAAAACATGACTTGTTTATTTTTTCCTAACAAGCTACCCAACTTATCTTTTCCCTAATAAGTAAGCTATAAAGCATACCTAGCTTATCTTTTTTAGTCTCTTGACAAGATACTTTGCTAACTTTTGCTGAAGCAGGAGCTTTTTAAATTCCTTTAGGCGGGGGCCCTAGCCTAGGGTCTGGGCCTGGGTCCCTTTCAATATTAGTGTCAGGTGTACACCATAGTTATTCAACATTTGTCTTTCTCTGTCTTACTACACTCAGCACAATACCCATTAGTCCCTCCATGTTATTGCAGATGGCAAGATTTCATTCTTTTTTATGGCTGAGTAATATTCCACAGTATATATGTACCACCTCTTCTTTATCCATTCATCCATTCAGGATGTAAATAATGTTGCAGTGAATATATGGATGCACACATCACCTCAAAGTAGTGTTTTGGGTTTCTTCGTAGAAATACAAAGAAGTGGGATTACTGGGTCCTTCTTTGTCTCTTGTTATAGCCTCTGTTTTGTTTTGTTTTTTAATGGTGAAAGAGTAGTTTATTAGAAGAAAAAGTACACTTCAAAGAGGTAGAAGCAGTCCCGGGCAAAAGGCAATTGCTCAAGGGCCACTATTAGAAGAGAAAGTGCACTCCAGAAGGTTAGGAGTGGGCCCGAGCAAAAGCCTGGCAAAGGCTCAAAGGGGGCAAGGCCAAGGGCAAAGGCCTAGCCTCTGTTTTAAAGTTTAAAGTCTATTTTGTCTGGTATAAGTATTGCTACTCCAGCTTTTTGTTTGTTTGTTTCCATTTTCATGAAATACCTTTTTCCACCCCTTTACTTTCTGTCTGTGTGAGTCTGAAGTGAGCCTGTTATAGGAAGCATATGTATGGGTCTTGTTTTCTTATCCACTCAGCCACCCTATGTCTTTTGATTGGAGCATTTAATCCATTTACATTTAAAGAAGTTGTTGATAGATACGTAGTTATTACCATTTTACTATATTTTTTATCTTTCTTCTTCTTCTTATAGATGTTCCTGTAACATTTCTTGTAATACTGGTTTGGTGGTGATGAATTCCATTAGTTTTTTTCTCATCTAGGAAGCTCTTTATCTCTCCTTTGATTCTAAATGATAGCTTTGCTGCATAATTCTGGTTGTAGTTCCTTGCTTTTCATCACTTGGGATATTTTGGAGAATTGGAAAGCAAACATCAGTGAAGTATGGCAGGATGGATGGGCAGTATGGATGCTTATTTGAAATTTGTGGTCATGAAATGATAGTAAGATCTGTCAGCATGAATGTGTATTTTTTTCTCCAGCGATGTTCATTTGCACAAATACAGGCCTAGAGGAAGTGAATAGGTGGATTTAACTAAAGTTAGCACTTTTCCGGACAAGTATGACCAAAGGAAGAGAAGTATTAAAGGAGCTAAGCGTGCTTGCAAGGGAATGATAATAATAATGTAACTTGAAATCTAAGCTGGATGAGGTGTGAAGTGAAAACATGAGAGGTTTGATAGTGAAAAAAAATGATAGTCAAGGTCTCAAAGAGATGGAAACACATACTAAAATGCTAAACTGGAAGTATTTAAGATGGTGATGACAGAGTAAACTGCTTGAAGTTGAGATTTTGGAGATAAGGTACTTACTGATGATGACTTGGATTAGGTTATAACAATGGGAGTGGGTGGGTGGCTGAAGTGGGTTAGAAAAAAATGATTATTGGAGGTATGGACATCAAAAAACTGAGGCCAAAGGATTTAGTAGATCATTCACATGGTTGTTGAAGTCACCAAGAATGGTGATGGAGAAATTGTGGAAAGGATGACAGAAAGGAAAAATTAGTAGAGATCCCAAGGTTGCAAACCTTGGTAAATGGTAGAGCCCAGATTCAGGCTTAATTCCAACTGACTTCCAGTTCCAGGCACTATTCACCACACTGGTTCATGGACTTATTCTCCTTTTTTCTCTGTTCTTAGGTAAAGGGTCCAGGAGTCGGGCTGCTTGGGATTTCCAAAGGGGGTGATCTCTGCCTCTCCATGGCCTCATTCCTGAAGGGCATCACTGCCGCAGTCATAATCAATGGCTCAGTGATCAATGTTGGAGGAGCCTTACATTACAAGGGTGAGACCCTGCCCCCTATAGGTTTGGACCCCAAACGAGTCAAGGTAACTGAAGACGGCTTTGCAGACATTTTGGATGCCCTGAACAGCCCTTTGGAAGAATCTAGCCAGAAGAGCATCATTCCTGTGGAAAGGGCTGAGAGCGCCTTCCTGTTCCTTGTAGGTCAGGAGGACCGTAACTGGAAGAGTGAATTGTATGCTAATGAGGCCTCTAAGCGCTTACAGGCCTGTGGTAAGGAGAAGCCCCAGATCATCTGTTACCCAGGGACAGGACACTATATTGAGCCTCCTTACTTCCCCATGTGCCGGGTTTCCATGCACTCCTTGGTGGGCCGTCCTGTCATCTGGGGAGGGGAGCCCAGGGCTCACGCCATGGCCCAGGTGGATGCTTGGAAGCAGATGCAGATTTTCTTCCACAAACACTTGGGTGGGGCCAAGGGACCGATCCCACTAAAACTGTAATCTTTTATTTGATTGTGTGGCATTTCTGGCACTAATTTATCCTGGGAACAGCTGCCACAATTAGTGTGTATGTGTAGTTGTTTTTTTTAAATAATTACATAGAGTTTTCCCCTTCTCATGGTTAAAATGAACTTACCAATGAGTTTTCAAGATTTTAATGAACTACATGCCTTTTCAGTTGTTTGGAAGGAGGATAATTCTGCAGAAAACACAACTGATGGAAAAAGCATTCATTACCTTTTAGTCTCTAACAACACACAAGGCTTCAGCTCTGAAAGGAAAAGCGAGTAATACTTATTAACAGTGGCTCATATGTAATTGTTGCTCAGTAATTGTTCATTTATTACTTGTTGAATTTAATAAATTTGATTAATAAATGATTGCCTACCATAGAAAAACACATAATATCAAAAATATTATCAGATTTGAGTTTCTCCTTTAAGAATGGAAGGGAACATCTTAGCTATAAATTGCTAGTTAGATTACTACGTAGATGTATAACTACTAAAAATTTTCATAGCAAATACACTTTTAGTTCTTTGATATCTTCTCCTTGGATGAATAAGGATTCTCCTAGTGCAAATAAATTTTAAGTTATGTTCCTGTTTACACATATGGGCCTTTATGATTTACTTATTTTGAAAGCAGGTAAAACATTATTTAGATGAATTACATAAATGCTTTTAACAATGATTAATGTGAAATTAAATGATTTAATATTTACATTACTTGTTACAAATAGTTCCACAATAAGCTTACTAAACTTTTCTTAAAGTTTAATGTGTTTAAAAGTATAAAAAAATGCCATAATTTATTATTATGGTGTTATTTCTTCAATTATCTTTTTTAATAAGGCAATTCTTGACGGATTTTTTTTCCTCTCAAAAATAGTACAGTGATCTTTTTGTTTTGTCTGCTTTTTCTTCGATACCACTGTGTGCTTGTCACTTAATTATCACCAATCTGCGAGGCAGGTGTCATCTGCATTTTAGCAATGAGGAAACCGAGTCTCAGAGTTCTTCTTCACATAGTAAACGCATTGCTGGGGCTCAGTATCCCAAATTCAGTTTCTTCTCTCTTTGTTAAATGGCTTTTCTTATCTCTGTGGTTCTTCATTTTATTTGGGCACAGAGTCATTTGTCCCTCAATTGCTGCCTCTTCTCATCCACCCAGTAGAATGCACATTTGTGTGCATTCACATTCACACACAGTGTTGTGTTCTTCAGGTGCATCATGAATTCCCTTAAAGCCCATCCATGTTCTCTATAGGATAACCAATTGGGAACTTGTGGAGAATAGTGGGAAAGTTGGACCACTCATTGGAAGTTCAGGGACGTGGAAACTGCCAAACCAGTATAATTTATTGGTTTTTCATGGAAAGCATTTCATTTTTTACCTCCACATTGAAGTTCATCAGTATCCAATACTTTGTTTCTATTTTTTGTCTTAGTCTTGTGGTGATCTTACCACAGAATATTTATTGAGTTTACTTCATTCCCTAATACAGAAAAATTAGATGATTCCCTGCCTGGTGTAGAAAGAGGTGGTTTCTTCAGCCTCACTGTCAGCTGCCTGTCACTCTTGGGTATCTCTTCTCTGCATCCGCTCTTCAGAGTGTCGATACAGATTGCTGATTGAGCTGACAAGAATATTGCATCTCTCATACTTGTGAGAGTCATTAGAAGTAGGTTCTAGGAATATGACACAGACTTCTTCCCGCCTTCACCATTTTGGCAACATTCATTTGTTTGTGCTCTATTTCAATACCTGTTACTATTCTAATAGCAATAAAATTTATGCTAGGAACATATGTGGGTTTACCTTATCTCACCTGTGCAGGGGAAGCAAAACTTTACCTCTACTCTCTTAGGGTTTCTGGTTGGACTTGAGAATTAAACTGACATAACACAGATTAACAAGAAAAAAGCATACCAATTTTATTTTTACACATGCAGAAAGTCTCCACAAGAAAACGAAGACCCAAAGAAGTGTCAAAACCTAAGTTCTTAATATACTAAATTGAACAGAGTGGCAACTGTGGAGAAGTAAAATATATGAGGAGACTAAAGGAAGAGAAATTATTTTAACGAGGTCTTGTGCAGAATTCTCTCAGCCTTAACTCCTATTTCTAGTGATAAGACTGTTTCTTCCTTCCTGGTATCAGGAGGGCAACTCTCACATGAGAGTTTCATCTGCTTTTAGGGGAAAAAAAATGGGAGCGAGTGCCCTTCTTGTACCTGCTGTTTTTCAAGTGCCATTAGCTCAAAATAATCAATATGCCAGATGGCATTTTGGGGTAGCATCCCCTGCACCCCTTCTTCACGTGACTTGTTTCCACAGTTTCCACTTGATTTTGAGAATGAAAGATGAATTGAGGGAGAATTTTCATCTTGCAGTGAAATACTGCTATGTGCTTTTAATTTATTCATGTTTCCTAACATATATTTTCTTTCTAATGTCAAATTCTGTGTTCAAATCTAAATATAAGTCTTCTAGAAGTCAACTTCCAAATTCCTTCATTAGTCCCATTAACAGTCATAACTCTTATTAATCCCATATTTTCTTTCTCTAATTTTAAAAAATTTCCTTTCTTGCCCTAATTTCTAAAAAGCCATCAATACCATAACGGGTCTCCTCCACTGCTGTCTCAGTGCTTACTCAGCATACAGTGCCCACCTTCCTTTTATAAGAACTCCTGATTTTCATTCATGTCTTGGCCTTTCTCCTGCAACTATGGGCTTCAGGGAACGCTAACTCCATCCTGACTGCAAGGACAATGATGGTGATCCCTGTTTGGCTTAAGCCAGTCTCAATATTCCATTCAGGGGAAAATATGTGATTTCAGTCACATACTTGGAATTTTCCATGTGCTGTCTCCCACTAAACATGAACAAAGAAGTATGAAGCTGCAACTGCTTTGACAGCCACCTTACAACATCATAAAAGGCAGAGCAGACAGGGCCGGCCGAGTGGCGCGATGGTTAAGAACTCGCTTGGGATGCCAGAGGGCCCCGGTTCGGATCCCACATATGAGGGCCAGTGACACTGCTCTCTACAGCTAAGATGCTGAACAACAGCTCAACCTGGAGCTGGGCTGCCGGGAGTCGCCGGCGACTGCGTAGGCTGCAGCCCCTGTGGCAGTGGGTTGCCATGGGCTACCGTGTGTAGCCAGCAGCCAGCGTGAGCGGCCAGCAGCCGCAGTGAGCGGCCGTCCAGAAGCCGGCGACTGATCTGCCTCGCCAGAGAAGAGCGCGATGATGGTGCCAACTTGGGCCAGTGAAGCGACATCCTCCACAACTAGATTGAAGAACAAAACAACAGCAACTTGTCTGTTCCCCTTCCCCCAATTCCCCAGCACTGTTCCTATCCCCCTAATTCCCCAATAAAAAAATCTTTAAAAAAAAAAAAAAAAGGCAGAGCAGACAGACAGAAACAGTTTCTTGGTGTCATCACTGAGCTATTGCATCAATCAAATACGAAGCCAGGCTATTGCTGACTTTCTATCCAATACGTTTCTTTATTTTTTAAAAAGACTTTACTTTTTAGAGCAGTTTTGGATTCACAGTGAAACTGAGAACAAGCTACAGAGATTTCCCATACAACCCCTGCCCCTACACATGTACAACCTCCCCTACTATCAGCATCTCCACCAGAGTGCTACATTTGTTATGACTGATGAAACTACATTGATCCATTATTATCACCCAAAGTCCCTAGTTTACATTAGGGTTTACTCTTGGTGTTGTACATTCTATGGGTTTGGACAAATGTATAATAACTTGAATCTACAATTATAGTATCATAGACAACACTTTCACTGGCCTAAAAATCCTCTGTACTTCACCTATCCATCCCTCCAACCCCTGACAGCCACTGACCCTTTTACTGTTTCCACAATTTGTCTTTTCTAGAATGTCATAGTTGGAATCATACACTATGCAGGCTTTGCTGATTGGCTTCTTTCACTTAGTAATATGTATTTAGGATTCCACATGTCTTCTCATGACTTGATAGCTCATTTCTTTTTGGTGCTGAATAATATTCTGTTATCTGGATGTATCAAAGTTTATCTGCTCACCTGCTGAAGGGCATCTTGGTTGTTTCAAAGTTTTGGCAATTATGAATAAAAATGCTATAAACATTTGTGTGCAGGTTTTTGTGTGGATATAAGTGTTCAACTCCTTTGGGCAAATGCCAAGGAGCTCAACTGCTGGATGCTATGGTAAGAATATATTTAGTTTTGTAAGAAACTGCCAAACTGTCTTCCAAAGTAGCTATACCATTTTGCACTCCCACCAGTGATGAATGAGAGTTCTTGTTGCTCCACAACCTTGTCAGCACTTAGTATTGCCCGTGTTCTGATTTTGGCCATTTTAATAGATGTGTAGTTTCCTTATTTTTTAAAACCAGTTTGAGTTTGCTGTTGTTAAACTTGCAACCAAAAGAAGCCTAACTACTATAACTTCACTGACATAGCCAAAGAATTCTTAAAAGACCAACTTGATTCCAGAAGGAATAAAAGTTTAACAGTTAAAAATAAAGTCGTACAAATATGGCTCTCGGGAAAAATAAAATAGAAAAAACATGATAATCATAGGTAGGAGAAGGTATTTCTTAGCATGACACAAAGCCCAGAAACCATAAAGGAAAAGACCAAGAGATTCAACTCCATAAAATTTGAAGATATGGCAAAATAAAATTGAAAGGCATATTACAGAATGAGAGAAAATATAACACGTAACAGGTAATATATATAAATGGCTTTAATAAATCAATAAGAAATATGGACAAAAGATATAAAAAGGTAGCTCTCGGAAGGAAAAAAAATCAATAATAAATATAGGAAATAATATTGGCTCAATTTGATGGGACTCTTCTTCCTCTGAATTCCTTGAAATGAAACAAAATATATATTTTTCAAAAGGGTAAATCCATAACAATCTTAGAAAATGAAAAAGGAGTGCTCTTATAGGTCTAGAAGATATGAAGATTTCCTAGAATATAAAACATGGAAGAGGGGCCGGCCGAGTGGCTCAGTTGGCTAAGAGCACGAGCTCTGAGCAATAGGGTCACCAGTTCGATTCCCACATGGGCCAATGAGCTGTGCCTGAGGTGAGCTGCCAACAGGTGGCAGGATGGCTCAGCTGGTGAGAGCACGTGCTCCTAACAACTAGGTTGTCAGTTTGACTCCCGCATGTGATGGTGGCTATGCCCCCCCACACACACATACACACACACACACAACTAAGAATGAACATGGCACCTTGAGTTGA